AGACTAACCAGTATTAGTAACAATATATGAAGATGGAATAGACCCAGAAATTCAGCTTAAGACAGTAAAAACTTACGCTTACTGTGAAATGTTGTACCCTTCTCTAATCTGTTAATATATTGTTGCTAGACATCTGCTACAAATGTAATTGTCCAACTCCTAGTACCACGTTAAAAATAGAGAATACAGCAGTTAACAAGACAGCCATTAAGTGATACCAGAAAGCTGGTTGGGATTCTACTTGACGTAAATGATAAATGGTGCACACTATAAGCATTGGGGAGTTGGCTCTTCTGGCACTATGACTCATGACAGTTCCCTTTGGCCACATCCAAAAAGTTCTCCAAGCTATATTCCATTGTATATTTAATTGAGCTTTTCATGTAGTATAAGTCTTCGTTACCTGTAAGTTTATATTCTTCTGCCAGACACAGATATTCAAAGACATCTGAAAGGACAGAGAGGTCAGTGACGATAACTTTCCTGAGCATGCTATAAAAAGAAGATTGACCAGGCATGGTGGCATTCACCTGTAGTCTCAGCTACTCAGGAGGCTGAAGTTAGAGAATCACTTGAGGCTATTGTGCTCTATGATCATGCCTATGAATAGCCACTTTACTCCAGGCTGAGGAATATAGTGAGAAGCCTTATCTCAAAAAAAAAAAAAAAAAAGAAGAAGAGGGTTAGATTAGTGAGTGAAGCTCCTCAGTTCAATGTCTGAAAATAGACTTCTGCTTTTACAGGGCTTGAATGTGCCTTCTAAGGAAAACTGTCGCTCCTGAAAAAATGAAAAATAGGCTCTGACTGACATCATAACACTCTGTTTATATGTGATGATAGGCATAGGGGCTACAGTGTATTTGGAGAGGAAAACCTGGGCAAACAGATGGAATTTTATCAATCACTTTAATGAGGGATTATGTGTTCTTCAACTCTTTTTCACTGTAAATACCACTGGCCAAAAATGAATCAAAAATTATTCTCCCAAGGGACTTAGTTTGTGTTTTATTTTGTTTGTTTTTTTTTCTGAGATGGAGTCTGGCTCTGTTGCCCAGGCTAGAGTGCAGTGGTGTCATCTCGGCTTATGCAACCTCTGCCTCCTTGGTTCATGTGATTTCCCTGTCTCAGCCTGCTGAGTAGCTGGGACTGCAGGTGCCTGCCACCATGCCCAGCTACATTTTGTATTTTTAGTAGAGACAGGGTTTTACTGTGTTAGCCAGGACGGTCTCAATCTCCTGACCTTGTGATTTGCCCACTTCAGCAGGACTTAGTTTGTTTTTTGTTTTTTGTTTTTTGGGACAGAGTCTCGCTGTATTGCCAGGCGCCAGGCTGGAGTGTAGTGGCACCATCTCAGCACACTGCAACCTCCGTCTCCCGGGTTCAAGCAATTCTCCTGCATCAGCCTCCCAAATAGCTGGGGCTGCAGGCGTGTGTGACCATGCCCAGCTAATTTTTGTATTTTAGTAGAGACAGGGTTTCACTATGTTGGCCAAGAAGGTCTTGACTTCTTGACCTCGTGATGCACCCGCCTCAGCCTCCCAAATTGCTGGGATTACAGGCGTGAGCCAGCGCACCCAGCCAGCAGGACTTAGTTTTATAAGCTAGTTAAATGAAAGGAAATCAGAGAAATTGGTAATTAGCTAAATGAAACTACTATGAGGCAAATGATTGGTAACAACCTACAGAAGATTTAAAATGATTCATTTATACATTTAGAGATAGAAATACTCATATATTTAGTTTAATTTCTCTGAAGAATCATTTTATGATCAGGATGGGAAGACTAAATGTGATAACAAATGAATTTAATTAAATAACATTTTGTGGTTTGCAAAGTGATCTTTAAACTGCCTTTCTTCCTCTTCACTCAATAAATAGACTCCCATTAGCACTGCTTTTTACTTATGTGACTTTCCTTTTGGTATTTCAGTTACCTCAAGTGTAAAATAGCGAGATGAATCTCATAGAGCAGTCTGTTGAATTCTCTAGTCTATTGAATTCTCTAGACTGTATTATATGTATTATAATGTGTAAGAGCGCCGTCCAATAAAATTTCCTGTGATGGGAACATTCTCTAATTTGTACTGCCCATTATGGTAGTCACTGGCTACAAGTGCTATTAACCACTTAAAATGTGACTAGTATGATGGAGATGCTGAATTTTTAATTTATTTAATTGTAATTAACTTAAAGATCCACATGAGGCTAGTGGGCACCATATTGGCTATCCCTTTTATTTTATTTATTTATTTTTCGTGGGGTCTTTTTCGAGATGGAGTCTTGTTCTGTTGCCCAGGCTGGAATGCAATGAGGCGATCTTAGCTCACTATAACCTCCGCCTCCTGGGTTCAAGCGATTCTCCTGCCTCAGCCTCCCAAGTAGTTGGGATTACAGGGACCCACAATCCTGCCGGGCTAATTTTTGTATTTTTGTAGAGAAAGGGCTTCACCATGCTAGCCAGGCTGGTCTTGAACTCCTGACCTCAGGTGATTTGCCCACCTTGGCCTCAAAAAGTGCTGAGATTACCGGTGTGAGCCACCATTCCCAGCCAGCTATTCCTTTGAAAAACTTAACTCTCATTCAGGCACACATAAACTACTGATTCAAGTGCAAGTTTTATCAAATATTCTTCTAATAAAGAATGTATTTTGTTTTCTTTTTTAGCCTACTTTTGGAAATACTGTGTTTAAAGCTTTTTCTCAGGATGCAAAAAAAAAAAAGATAAGAATATCAGGAAAAGTATATTCTTTTTATATATATTCTACATATATATTCTATATATATGCTCACTCTACTGTTTAAAATTGTAGCTGTTTTAAGCATAAAGAAACTGGCATTTATTCTGCATATGATTTTTTCACCTTGTTCTTGTAAGTGAGTCAGTTGTAATAAGCTTATGGTTTATGCTGTGAATAATCACTATTCAGCTGTACTTTTGAATGGGATATGACTATCAAAATGGTTTTGTAGAGCTAGAGTTGAAAATGCTGTATCTATTGTATGTTTTCCATAAATTCGTTGTGTATGTATAGTTTTGTCCTGTTGTGACTATGCTGTTGAACTATGAATTAAAGCATTTTGAAAAGCATCTTGGAAAGTTAAAATAAATTATATAGTCTCGAGTTACATAGAAAATATGTATTATTGTTCTAATTTTAATGATTGCATTGGCCACCTCTCTTTTTATTAATTTGAACCATGGTCATTGAGACTACCCCAACAAATGAATACATTACTAAAGCAGAAACAGATTTATTAAACTCTGGGGAAAAAGCACTATACGTCTCAAAGATGAAATGTTAAGAAAACTTTCTTAAAATAATGATTTGCCTTCGGTTTTCTCAGTTTCTCACATCTGCCTCCTCCACAACATGAGAAACTATTTGAGACTCTTAGCATGCTTGTAAGAGTTTAGGCACAGTATGGTGAAAAAACAACAACAAAAAACCCCAAAACTCATTGCTTTCGCTTGATTAGTTTTTCTTTT